AATTGATATCGTATTTACTTTTTTGTGAACTGACTTCTGATTTTTCTCTAGCGATTGAAAAAGTAGAATAATCCGCTTAATAAAACTTTTGCAATTTTTATATCGTACAGACACAAGTGTACTAATAATTTTATCATTTTAACTTGTTTTATTAAGTACAGAAAAATGTAGTTCTTCAAAGTTTTTAACAACTGCTGTTGAAATCGATTGTTTTCCGATAATTTTCTGAGTCTCAAATTTTATTCCACATTTTCAATTCAGTTATTTTCGAAAGAAATCTTTTTCTCTTCGATCATTTTTAACATGAGAAAATTATTCGTAAATCTTGGAGATAAGATTGTCGAACTCTCATTCAAAACCTTATCGAACGAAAACTACTCGCGCGAATAGAGATTATACTTTTATCGCGTTAAATTTTAATTATATGCGACAGAGAAACATTCCGTATCCATGTGTTATATATGTCATTCATAGCATTATATCGAGCAAGATGCATAACTGGTACAAAACCGTTTTTATGTTCCGCAACGAAATTACGTTTAGCGATCGCGATCGTTACACAAAGTCGCTCGGCGTTATCGTCATTAGTATGATTATCATTATCGTCATTAGCGCGGATGCTCCATGCCGCGCACGAACACGCGCACAACCTCATCGCGAACTATCGACGACGACACATCATCGTCGGTAACGACTTTCCGCTTCCGGTACGGTCGTAACCGGCAACGAAGATTTCCAGCACGAACTCGATAAGCAATGATATCTAATGGCTCACGATAAGAAGCGTTTAGCAATGCGGGGAAATGACTTCCGGGTTAATTCCGCTCCCTCATCCACGTTAAACGTTGAAATATCTCGCTCCGGGAGTTCAAGCCGTCGAGTTGACCTCTTGTGTGCAACAGAGTCTCGAGATAATAAATACTTTTATCTAAGATACATCGTTATATCGAGTATCGACGCGCTTATCGTCAGATATACGACAGAATGTATCCGTAAGTTAGACGGGGGGATGTATTTATCAAAGTAAATACGTTTCGGTACAATTTTATCAGTTAAAGTTAGGAAAAACACTTGTGTTTTTTATTACTGCGCGTCGTGTTTCGCGTCATTGATATATTTTTGTTTCAAATACATCTTAGCGCGTAAAAACCAAATGATTTCAAAACAAACTCGACGACGCTCGTCCTCGACCTGACATACCTCTTCCGTACTTTGACTTCCGTACGCGTACTTTTTACGTCATCGTGTTTGTGTGGTGTAGCAATGTCAAAGCTAAACGTATTCATTCGCGTTAACCTAGTCTAGTTTGCCAACCTCAAGTATATTCATTGCTCCCGTTTCCGCGGCAAAAAAAAAATGGCAACACTTGTCGCTGATGGAGAAACGAAACATTACACAAACGTAACGTATGACACGATCAAAAATATTTTCGACTTTCAACCAAAACAATCGAGAAACTTTTTCAATATTCGAGCGGTTAAGAAGATAACAAATCCCGTGTGTTTGAATATCAAGTGTAAATTTCAAAAAGTTCATTAAAGTTAAGTAAAAACAAAACGCAGGATTTGATGAGATTTAAGAATCACTTGAGTTGTGCAACAGAAGATAAATGTCAAAACAACAAGGCGTCAATGAACACATTTTATAAAAAAGTAATTATCAGATATATAAAATATGTACGAATTGTAACAATAAACAATATATAAATAAATATTAAAATATTAATCAGATATGTAAATATTGACCGTAACACTTCTTCGTTATTTTTTAACCATTTTTAAAGATGTGTGTTAATCATTTCCAGCCACTTACAAATTCTTTGTTACTTGTTTTTTTTTAATAAACGTCCAGCCACTTGCCCAATCATTTACCTTAGTTGCTCCACAATGTAAACAAAATTGTTTTTTTTTTAATAAACGTCCAGCCACTTGCCTAATCATTTACCTTAGTTGCTCCACAATGTAAACAAAAATAAAACATTTCTCCGATATTCAAATGTCATAAGCGTAAAGTGTGTCTTGCACAATTGAACCGTCAAGCGGAGTTTCTTTGTGATTTCAAAGAAGTCGATGACGAAATAAAGACAGTTATAGGCGCACTCCTTGTCGCCTTGCAAGTCGATCTCCCCTGGAGTATTTTCCGGATCGTTAAACATCATGTCGAGCAAGCATGTCGCTCATTGACCCTCGTGTTCACAAGGATGTCTCATGAAAATCGACTAGCAAAGACGTCATCGAGCGAAATAATCATGCAAAATAATTACCTCAGAAATCTCGTCACGCTTGCGCGAATCTTTTCAAAGTGGTTTAAGACAATTGTTGAATTCGGGAGTGATATAACGCCTATGTATGTACTTATATTTCTCATCTGTCTGATCGAATATAATTTTTGTCTATTTTTTATACTTAAGAATGTTTTTTTCTTACCGTTGGTAGAAATTATCTTCTAAACTGGCTTCGTTACTTTGCCGTGAGCATCATTACCGGAAAACTCGAAGAAAGTGTGAGTCTTGTGTCCCGAGTCTCGCTATTTTACTCCGAAGGCACGTGCAAGTGTCACTTGAGACGAGAGGCCGCCAGGTGAGAAACTTGGCGATTTTTTTTCGCGACGATATTAGACGAAAGTCGATAGGGCGAAATTTTTTCTGCAAAAAAACAACAAAAATCTCTCACTTATCAAAGCGAATGTTGCTGCGGTGCAAAACAAACAAGCTTCAACATTGATTTCTCGAGAAAAGTCTGCGATATTATCTCGACAATGTCTTTTCAAATATTATTTCTGTTACACGAAAGTCACGTAACAAGTTCGCATCTTATCGTTCCGTCAGACCGCGGAATGATATATCGAGACATCTCGAAGATGTAACGTGGCTCACGTCAGAGAGAACATCTCGAGCGAGACAGACGCGCGACAACACTGTTGCGTCTCACCATTATTACGAGATCTTCGTTAGCGATGATAATTAGAGAGCGCGGTTTCGTTTCGATCCCGCTCCATTCGCGAACACGCGCGAATTAGACGGAATTGCGACGGGAGATCGCGACCGATCGGCGCGTCTGTTTGAACTACGCGTCTCTCTCTCTCTCTCTCTCTCGTAGATTCTTACATTATCCATATTGAAATGAGGTCCATGTACTCACCGGGATGACTCGACGCGCGCTCTCTTCGTCTCTCTACGCCGGTGTGGCTCCGAACCTTCAGAGATACCTTCACACACCTCGTTGTCACGCACCACGCGCGTCCAACTTCTCGCGATAAACGAACGTCGCCGCGACTACCTTCCGAGACGCGCGATTGTTTGATCGGATGTTCGTTCGCGTCTATCAAACGCGTACCGCGAGTTAATTTCTTGTCGAACACATCGAGCGAAGACGAAAACGCGATATCAACACAAGTCTCCGACCGTCATGCATCGATACTGACCGATACTGACTACTGACTACCGGTGTCTCACCGACACGACGCAACTCTCTCCACTCCACTCCGCGTTATGCGCGCGCACGGCGCCGCGAGTTCGAACGCCCGATGCTGGCGAATTCTGTCGTCGCGTCGCGAAAAGTTTTGATGCACGAGTCACAGACTTCAAGATAACTGATTTTCTAATAACTATACGTATATCATTGTATCTTTTTTTCCATACGCATGTAGCCTCTCCACTAGCGTTTTTGACTCCTTCAAAACCAATTAAATGATTTGACGTCAATTCAATAAACAATCAATAGAAACCTGAGAGCGGTCCATAAGAGAATGTGTAATCACTTTTCCGTCTCGTAAACTAGCGCATGTTCACGAGTAATGCACATTGATAACTACGTGGCGATGTCCATGAGCGACTTGTCGATACGTATGCAATGTCCAAACATGGAGATGGTTCTATTCCAAGCTATGTGCACGTGCGTCGGTCACTTTTAAGTCTGTATACCGACGCACGTGCACATAACACGGAATAGAACTTTGTTTACATAGCACGGAATAGAACCATCTCCATGTTTGTATGTACATTGCATACGTATCGACAAGTCGCTCATGGAACATCGCTACGTAGTTTTCAATGTGCACCACCCGTGAACATGCGCTAGTTTACGAGGAGGAAAAGTGATTACACACATTCTCTTATGGGCCTGGCCGCTCTCAGGCTTCTCTCTGATATTGGCAACTGCAGCAATATCCACGAGCGACTTGTCAGTGCGTGCGCTATGTCCAAACACGTGGACATGGTTCTATTCCGCGCTGCGTTCACAGCGTGAGGTTCGGTTAGGTTACGTTCACATCCTGACCGATTACGTTCATATAGTGACTGGTCAGATTCGTATCTGAGTCGGTTAGGTTAGGTTAGGTTCCCATCCTGGTCGGATACAATCACTAGGTTAGACTGTGAACTTAATCCTGTGAACTAATCTACATATGAACCTAAACCTAAACCTAAACCTAAACCTAAACGATCAGGATGTAAATCTAACCTAACCTAACCTAGCCTAATCTTTTTACTGTTGGGAATTCTACCGCAGAGCGCACGTGACAGACGTTCAATGTGATCGATGTTACAGACGGCAAAATATCTCGCAAAGTCTAAAAGTTCAATAGACAGTATATATAAATGTGTAATTTAAATATTTCACTAATTACTTTCTTTTATGTGTCAGATGCGTATTTCTTACTAAGTTTGCAACATCAAAAAAGCCGCAATCGAATAGTGGCAGGAAGGCTGTATATTTATACATGTATATAAATATAAATGAAATATATATATATATATATATATATCACAAATAATGTATTGTATGACATTCATAATTAATATTTTAGCTTTTTGGAAATATGCATATTACAGTATATAAACTAAATTTTTTTAGAGACAAAAAATCATATATTGAACGGGTAAAAATTGTAAATTTTTTATAGTTAATTGTAGTTCGGGGTTGAAGCTTTTCTAGTTAGTACTCCTTTCTAATAAATTTACGTAAAATAGAAAAATTTATTAACTAACGATAACGTCAGCTCTATTGTTTAACATCTTCGGAGTTATGTTGCGAATCTTCGTCGGCAGGAATTCGCATTCCCATAAAAGCGGCTGAATAATTTCCTTTGCCTGGATCGTCAAATACGATTTCGTCGTTAACTACCCATCGATTGTAGCGAATTTCCGATACAAGACGAAAGCCCAGTGTCAGCGTCATCGACTGAGTATGACCCGATGTGAAAACGCCGGCGATAGCTGGCTGATTCAGTGTGGACGCAACTTGAAAGCAAGTTCTCAAAAGAGCCGCATCGATGTCTTTTTGCTGATAAGATGGATGAACGCAGAGGATATAAATTCGAAAATACGTGTCGCAATTGAACTCTTTGTACGGGTTTGTCTGTTTTATTACGGCGTTGATAAGGTCCATAATTTTCTTTAGACTGTCTCCCTCGAAATTCTGTAGCGAAGCACGTATGTTGCACCGTGACACTTGTTGTTTCATTTATATTGGAGTTCAAGATATGTCTTTTTACGTGATATCACGTACTTGCGCGCGATTATACATGTCGATTTTATCCGAATTACTATTTATTCGCGTAACCGCAACTCCAATAACACGCCCAGATGTTGAACTGAGCGCTACCAAACTCGTTGTGTCCTTCAGCCACGTTCTTATAAGATCAACATATTCGTTCACGGATTTTTGATCTTGCAGCAAAGAGATCGCTTTGCACATTGGATCTTCTCGGAAGTAATGATGCTAATTATTTAAACAAATTTTTTTAGTATTGTTAACTTTTTTTCAAGTATTTCAAAAGAGTTTCTATCAAAATAGAAGTTGCTTTGTGCGATTCAAGTGTCGACAGTAATAAAAAAAAAACGTATTTTTCCAGTCAAAGTTCGTCGAAAAATTTATCTTACAAAACAAGGAAAAGATATATGTAAAAAAATATAGAGAAAAAACTGGGAAATACAAAAAATGTTGACGTGTTTTTGCTCAGAACTCATAACTAAAATCGTGAAATTATCACACGCAGATAGATATTCTTTCTGGATTTTCCCGTAGCTGAACTTTAATCAAGCGCAGAACTTCCTCGTACTGCGCTTCCTTGAGATCTTGAATTTTGCATGTCACCGGTGAATCCCACTCCAAAGGCGCGTACATCCTCGCTTCCATCTCAGGCGTAAATCCGTCCTGTCTTTCTTTGTCCATGATTGTTGTTTTTTTACACTCGACTTTACTTTAAAGCTCACTTTGTTTTATTTCAATTTTGCAACGGTATAATTTATCAATTGTAAAAAAATCCTTCGTACGTCAAATAAACGTAACGTGTGCTCTCAAGCATCTTCTGTCACAAATTTGAAGTGAACATTTTTCGCTGTTTTCAATTATCTTCGATTTCGATAATAAAAGAAAAGAACGACATTCTGATAAAATATCTAAGTCTAAATGTAATTTAAATAAAATATTTGTAAACAAAGTTCAAAACTTCGAGTACGTCTCGATGTAAATATAAAAACTTTATTTAAGACGTGTATTAATAAAAAGTTTCATTCGACGTGTTAAACAAAAGTGTTGTATATTAATATAATATGTATAATATCATAAATATATGTATAATATCATGAATGTATAATATCATGAATATATAATAGATTGCACATACACTTCGCACGTTAATAATTTTTCTAATTAAATAAGTATTAAATATTTTAGTTAAAAATAAGCAAACCTTACTTTTGTAACTAGTTTCTAGAATTGAACACTTCATGCAATATTTCTCTTTGCTTTTTTTATCTGTACATTTACAAGCAGAAGCGTCTTTATTTATGTGAAGTTTTCAATGTTAAAATATTATTGAAGCGTTATTGGTGCAACTTCACGTGTAAAACGCTCCTGCCTGTACTCACTCTGATGCTTGCACAATCAATTTTACGATTAACTTACAATTCATCGTTTAATCTTTCCTGTGCATTAGCTCTTGCTTTTATTTTCTCTTCTAGCATATTCCAGAACATTATTCTGTCCGTAGGAAGATTGCTAATTTGACCGGACGGGTTACGTATGTGAAAACATTCCATCCGGTAGAGATCGGTTGTTTGCACCGGTTTCCATATCTCGGTGATCAACGACGTGACATTCGGCGTCGGATTTCTAAAATATTGCATTAGGTTTTTTCTAATAAGTTTCTTCTTTATGGATTTTATTCAACAAAGAAATTAGCTCACATATAATCGAAAAACTACATAAAAATATTAAAATAAAATACACATCTTGTAAAAAAGAACATCAAAACACGATAATTAATTGTACGTCATATTATTGCAATGTGAGAAATTTCTAATTTTTACGTTGTAAAATTTATTGACGTATTCACGTTTTGTCTGAGCTATTGTACAGCACTTACCCGTATTTTGCAAAATTGTACCAGAGAGTGGTCATAAGATCGATCATGACGTAATCCATCTCGTTTGGTAGCGTGTCTTTAAACAGTTGATCACGCACGGGAAACAGATATTGCAACTCATCCGCGTGCACCACCCCGTAATTCTTAGTGGAATCGCCGAATATCTGGCTAAAAGACGCGCTCCCTCTGTACGCAAAATAATAATAATAAATCGGTGAAGTTTGGAGCTCCGTAAGGTCGCGTATGGCGCTGTAAGTGCCATGAGTGAACCAGGCGTCACTGTACAACTGTAAAATCACGTGAGCGAATCTTATTTGAGTGAATAATCAAACACGTGTATATTCAATCGCAATATTTTTATCTTAATAATTCTCGCATAAAATAACGTTATGCGTTTTAAAACTTGTACATAAATATATACGTGCTTCAAATTTAAACTTACATTAATGAGCCCGAACCTGGATTTCTCGGACTCGTCGATGTCACCGTCACCGAAGTACTTGCGTCGGATCATTCCGCTTATCTCGTTTTGAAAGTCGCTATCGGTGAGATTATATTTTTGCTGGTACATCAAACTCGAGGGTGCAATTTCCATGAAATTGTTGTTCAGTCTTTTTATATCGTCTCTGAACCGCCCGTACAGACCTGTGAAATATTTTTTTATTTCCCGCATAAATCATCCGCTTTAATGACATAGTGTGCGGTAATCGATACTACAGCAGTGTCTGCGAGAATAAATTGCAAGAGGAAACTGTCAATTCCTGTTTTGCAGATTGTTTTCAACGTAGCTTCGAAACTTGACGATTTAAGGAAAAAAAAATTCTTCTCTGGCATTTAGAATTTTAAAGAGTCGAATGAGATTATTATTATAAGCTGTTATATATCGCTTGGAGTGGATCCGCGTGAGTGTTGCTCCTTTACCTGCTACTTTCAAAGCTCCCTCCTCCGAAGTAACTCCCGTCATCCAAGGTATGTCAGCAAGGCGGCCTTTTTTTACAGAAATCAAAGGATCCTCCGTCAGAAAAGCACCTGGATGATCGGGTTCGATCACCGGCCTGAATGGTATCATCGGACAGTAACCGAATGTCTGAGAGAACACGTATAAATAAAATAAATTGCACGAGAGAGAACCAAAATGTGTCCACAGAGAAACAAATGTTTTGTTAGATAAAAAAATATTATCTAGGAAACTATGTAACAAATGCACTTTACGAAAATTAAAACTCAAAATTAAGTTTAGAAAAAAACTCTTTTTCTGCTCTCCAGAAAGTACTTCATCAATTTGTACTTGTATATTGTTTTATCGATTTCACAATCGGCTGTTATATAACGATAGGCAATTTAATATTTACTGTACTTATGCGTCTTTCTTTCCTCCATTCCATTTCCTGCATATTAACTAAGAAAAGATGTGAGGAGGATAAAAATGAGAAAATAAGACAATTACCACACGGAAAGTACGTGATCAGCGAGTATAAAAAGCGTGCATATAAATATTTGCTAAATTGATTTCTCTTCATCGCCGTATCATCGATATGTTTATTCAGTACAGGCGGCAATTGCATCTCAGTCGGATATTTATCCTCATTCGTACTCACGAAAACAGAATTAGAATAAAAAAATTCGTTTGTTTTTTATAGAAACAAGTTCTTGTGATCCCAAATTCGAGCGTATCATCAAACAAGCAATCGTTATTATATCAAATTTATCGTAAAAAATTAAAACAAAATCGTTGAAAATTATATTTCTAAAATATTAAATATAATATATTGTTAATTGAAATTATTTAAATAAATAATTATATATTAATAATTTTCTAATTTAGTTTTAATTTATTTTATTACTGTTAACTACGGTTTAAAATTATTTTGTTGATAATTTTGCAACAGGACACATTTATTCTAAAGTAGAGCAAAGCGACACTGTTGCGTGACATTATCCGAGAATAAAAACATGCTATCGTATCTACCTGTCCGCGCATATAAATCTCCCGAGACTTAATACACACGCAGATACGAGACTTATCACGCGGTTGCACTTTTCACGGTTCCGCATGAGTGCACTTACAAACTCACACATTTCACACGAAACATAGTAGTAATCGAAAAAAAACAAAATAGTTCAGCCAGCTTTCAAAGAAAAATATGATAATATATAATGTAGTTTAATCGATTGACAGAGTTTAAATGTTTTCAAATAATTGTCAAAGCAGGTAAGAAACTAGACGCATTATAAGAAATGCGACAAACAAGTTCTTTGCGCAGAACTAAACATTATTTGACACGATTGAACATCCAGGTTGAATACCAGCAAACAATTCAAGTGAGATTTTTAAGTCATGTCTCGCTGTTTTGATTACACTTGCATACTGAGACACGCTTGAATAAAACATGTAAATTCTATACACATCAATGTATCTCTAAGAACAAAAAATCTAAATAGTGTCAATTATATACTTGTAAATATACAAAATCTAAATACTGTAAATTATATACTTGTATAATAATAATAATAAAAAATTATATAGTTAGTAAAATAACTAGAATTTTTATATTTTCATAAATTGTTAAAGAAATGATAAAATTAAAGGATCCATGTAGTTAAATTAGACAAGTTTTTCATTACCTGAAATATGCGATCAGTGCCAATAATTTCTTGTGGAGTTTTTAGTCGCAGACATTCGAGAAGGTCCTTGGAAGTAGTATTGACTGGACAGTTTAAGTGACTACCCAATAGTTCGAGCTTCTTCTTAGCGGATTCTTGCGACATTATGGTCCATGGAGAATAGAAAGTACCGCTCTGCGAAATGCCGCGATGGAAAAGACCTACACGCAATAAAGAACTATCTTAAATTTAATATCCTCACATGCGCCAATTTTTTATTATCTCTCTCGACAAATATTAAGATTATTAATATAAAAAAAAACGATTAAAAATTGTAGGCTAATACTTTTGTAATTTTGAAACTCATTTCTATTTAATTTATTAATATTAATTGCATATAAATAAACAAATTGTGGTTCGCGAAATTATAATATATTAGATCAACGCAACAATTGATGTATGCATCACAAACTGAATTGTGGTGTGCTTTGCATTTGTTTTAGTAAGCGACTTCCAGAGAAGAAAATTGCATTTTGATACCGTGAAACACGTATCGTCGCTTCATTAACAAGTCGCGGTAATGCAATGCAAAATAGAATATTATGCATACAACTGATTAAAGATAATTTATTACACCTATATCTTCAGAATAATCTAACTTGTAACTAGTAATGTTTTATCACCTCGCGAAAGAGAGCTGATCATATGATAGTGAACGCTTGCACCGCCGGCGCTTTCACCGAAAATGGTCACGTTGTTTGGATCGCCGTTGAAGGCAGCGATGTTCTCCTGCACCCATCGCATGGCCTGCGCCTGATCCTTTAGTCCTAAGTTTCCTGGACACTCTTCATCCTGCGTGCTTAGGAAGCCCAGTGGTCCCAATCTAACATATTAGAGAAGTTCATGTGTTATTGCAGAAAATTCTTATTGATTGCTTATAAAATTGCATAAAACTATTTCATTAATACTTATATTAATGTGATATTAAAATATATATATTAAATATATATTAATGCGATATTTAAAAAAATATTAAAATATCGCATTAAATGTACATTATTGCATCTACTTTATATAATAGTTTTGTTTAAAAAAAACGATTGTATATTATGCAAACCATAAAACTTAAATTCTGAAATCAGAATAAGAACTAAGTTGTGTCGGCTAAGAACTTTTTTTTACCGAAAGTTTATGGTGACGAGAACGAGATCGTGGTCCAGCAAGTATTTAGGATGATAATATTCCGAGTGGCCGGCACCGGTAACCCATCCACCTCCGTGAATCCAGAACATAACCGGATAACCTTGCGGAGACGGCATACGAGGCGCGTAAACGTTCAGATAAAGGCAATCCTCGCCTCCAACAATTTCTTTCTGATACGTGTAAATGTTCCTTTGCGTGCACACTTCGGCATCTTTCACAGCCATTCGTACGCCGTTCCATGCGACCATAGGTTGCGGAGGCTTTAAAAACAAACCAACAGCCGCGTGATCAATTCCGCGAGTATGTTAATTAGCAATTTAGAATACACATGCGTATATTGCGTCAAAACTATTTTCTTTTGCAAACAACTTGGATTTCAAGTCATTAATAAAGTGATATAAACAAGCCGTGTTTTTAAAATTCAGATTGTATGCAAGCAAACCTTTTTGAATCAAATGCAAAAACTTGTGTTAAAAAAATTAACATTTAAAAATATTTAAGCGAATAGATTTAATTATTGATATATTTGCAGAGACTGAAAGAGAGAGAGACAAACAAATTAAAAAAAGATAATTAAATATATATAAATAAATTACTTCGCATATTTAAAAAACTTAAGTTAAAATTATTTAACTTTATTAAACTTTAGTTAATAAAATTTAAAGCTCAATAACAACAAAAGTGTTTTTTTAGTATTGCATAAAAAATACAATTTATTTTTGCAATATTTTATTTACAAACTCCGTGTAATAACGAGAAACTATCTGACAAAAAATCGTCGCTACGAGTTGTCGAGATTATTCGGTTATAATTCAGAATTAGATAAAAAATTATCCTAACTATCGAACGCGAATAAATAGCGGTCATTGTTGTTCGCGGAAGAATGCGAGTTCCCGGCAGTAGTTCGGTTCCCGGTTCCGGGATGTCAGCGAAACGCCGAAACGGTGTCGGAAATGGAGCGCAGCAACAAGTGACCAACTTCACTTCGTGCGTTATTTCTCGAAGAATACAGTATCGGCGGTCGCGCAATCCGTTCTTTTTACGTTAGTTTGTTGTTATCAAAACGAGATTTTTTGCTACAAACGCGATCCTTCGAAACAAAATATCACGTACTTCGATTTGACGCGTACGTATTTGTATCCTTTCGACGCATCTCGTCACGTTTCAACGGTTTGGATCGCGAGCAGTGAAAAACAAACAACGAAGGTCATGCGCCATAGCGCGACGTAGTTGCGTCGTACTTTTGTGTGTTTCGCGTTAGTTTTCGAAAATGCATTGCGCGAGTCGATCGCGCGTCGAAATGCCGGCTCGGATTTTCGGGAACAGTGAGCACAATTCAAGTTCGGACTTCCGTCGCGTATTTGTGATACGGATTCACGGATTGATTCACGTTCTTCCATAACGAATTACATAATAATAAGATAATTGTTGATGCGAGACGATCACGGTAATGATAACATATTTGCTCTTTCACATTTAAAATTTAGTGATTTTAAATTACTACAGTATTTATATTTATATTGAATATATACTATTTTCAATATTTTATTTAATATTTCGTGTTTTATCTCAGATGTATATAAAATAATTATAACATTATTGTATTTATATATGTATAAATATAATAAAGCGTAAATTTTAAATATATAATTAAGAAAATAACATGCAACTATACAATTATTTAATATAAATTATTTCAAGATTATTGAGATCAGGATTGAAGGTGTTACAGCAGGGAGATACTACACAGCGATGTTACAACGGCTCCGGTGAAACGGCTCCGTCTACAACGGTAATACCTACAACGGTGACATTTACAACAATGTATCGGTGAGTGATTGATTTTTTTCGGACGAATATTTTCTTATTGCACATAAAAAAAAGACGGTCAAATATAAATTTGACAACATTTGACAACAAGAAAAGTTTGGCAAAACTGAACGTAAATTTATCTAACTTTTGTCACAAATGAAAATGATGTATCCGTAATTAAAACTCTAGTTTTACAACACAATGTTGCATGTAACAAAAGAACTCATGGATGAATTTGTAATTTGATATTTTTCAATGAGACAAATGAGCTAAGCTTTCGGAATTTGAAATTAGCGACAGATTGCGTTCAGATTTGTCACCACAGGAAATGTCTCTAAACGTTATGAAATAGACGTTATGAAATAGACGGCATAAGAAATGCAAAGCGCATTTCCCGTCGCTCGTTAAATGACGAACCAAGGCGACTAATGCAATATCATATGCGTGCAAAATACTAAATTATTATAATTACACGCGATATCAATGAAGAGCATAGAAGACGCGTTGTATCGACAATAGAACTTCGCGCGCGAAAACACAAAGTGATAGACGAAATGCGGCTTCGAACTGTTTTGGTTTCACAATGTGCTCCGAAGGAATTGTCGCGTTCATTCACGTATACAATAAAATGCGGCTTTTTTTTTATTTTCCGTGAAACAAAAAAAGACAATCTATCAACTTGAGAAACGGCAATTAATTTACTCGATCCATTATTATTAATTAATCGATCCATTATTGCAACAAGAAACTTTGATGCGTGTAACCCCGGAGGAAAACGGTATTTTTGTAATTATTTTATTACGTGATTGCTGTGCATACTTTTGATTACCGCGAAAGTCACTGATGTAGGTTTATAAGAGATTGCGTAAGACGCGTAGCTCATTAAGAAATCATTAAGGATGCCAGAAAGAATTTTTTTAATAATTAAAACTCTATCAGCTAATGTGTCCTACTATCTCTCTCTTGCCTTTTTCTTTCTCTATCTATTCCTGTTTTAAATCGTAATCTGCACTTTCCCGAGTTGTTATTGATTTTTATAAGTGTTTTATGCAAGGCCGTCTAAGTTATTTAAATAAAAGTTCCCGCTCACGAGTAAATCTGCGATAAACGAGTTTTTTAGTAAAAGTATGTTAATAAATAGCGAAAAGTCTCAAACATATAATATGTAATCAACAAGTAATTTTTTCTATTATTTTAATTTCATTTTAAATTTTACATGTTAAATTATATTTTAATGTGATCGAACGAAACGTCGGGTGTTTTTAAATTCAAGGAAAGATTTTATCGGATTCGGTCTTGTTTCTTCGGGATTTCTTGTATAATCTGATAGAAAAATTTACCTTAAATCTTAGTTTGTCAACTGGTGGTCGAGCGTAAGGAATTCCACGAAACGCGTTGAATTCTCTCCCAAGTCTGGAGCGCATTATCGTACCCACTAGCGTGCCATTTTGTATTGTTACCATCGGCATATCATTGTTGTTATCATTATTATGAGCATTGATGCATACGTTAAATAGAAACGGGCAAATGCAGATCAGTCGGATCAGTATATTATCTTGATTCCTCATCTTTGAAACTTTCTGCAGCACGTGGTCTCAGAGCTGATGTAATTTGCAAACTGCAAACAAAGTCAAATGTTTTACGTACGATTCTGTAATCTCTCTCGGCAACAACATCCTGTCTTTAAAGCTGGGTATACACCTAGCGAACGAACGCCAAACGAACAGCGAGCGCAAACGTTTGTTATTATCATTCGTCAGATTTATACGCCAAAACAAATGCGAACAGAACATTTGATTCGCATTTGGTTTGGTTCCCTCATGAGGCATTTGTTTTGGCGTATAAATCTGACGAATGATAATAACAAACGTTTGCGCTCGCTGTTCGTTTGGCGTTCGTTCGCTAGGTGTATACCCAGCTTAAAGTATCTTCGCGCAGCAAATAGGTGTATTAAATAACCGCGTAATGATAGCGACATTATTTTGTTAACATTTACACAATTATCTTGTCGTTGTAAGATTTTCGTCGAGAAAAAGTTTTATACAACCTATACTTGACACGTAAAAGTTGCTGACACGCCAAGTCTCTTACGAGAATAATTACTGTTCGAAACGAAATAAATTGTAGATAATTTGCATATTTGCATAAGCACACACGCACGTAAAATGATTGCTAGATAATTTTGAGAAACTATTATTTTCCGGGAAGAGAGTCACAAACAAAAATTGTTCTCGTGTCCGATCGAGAGCACACAAAAATATTATAATAGCGAGAAGATTTAATAGATTATGAGAAATTACAGAGCCGTACTAGAGAACTATTGCTTTAGAAAATATCTAATGAGATGATGCACCATATATATATACCGTGTGATTTTGCTGAGATCGTGTTTGTACCGCGACGGCAAGATTAAGACTGTCGTGGAAGAGGGCCGCCGGCTTGTTTTATTAGGAATGGGAATGACGTCATCAAAATTCCTGATACCTGAACAAATTTTTCCGGCTCCTTCGGCGTTCTCGCAACGCGGAAGATCAATAAATCAAAATTCACACAAAAACAAGATATTTCTTTTGTCACGAGATTTTCTACGCAAAGTATTTCGATCTCACAATACCGTATTTATCTAGATTTATTAACGATAAAAAATACGACACATTTGACAGACTGACAATGTGACATATTGTTTGTTCACGTATTTATAATAATATTCATCAAGACGTTCAAAACTTTTGTCTCATAACAAACGTCGAATAAGAAGTAATAAGAAATTTTACTCGAAGTAATTCACCTAAAACTCACCTGAATAATATATTTCGCTTATCTAAACCAACTTATGTCCTATATTAAATTAATATATTTTTCATAATATAAATAATTTCTGAGATCGTTATAGTGATTAAATTGTTAAGTTGCATTTAAAACTGTTTCTCTTTGCACGAAAAAAAATATAATTCCTGTTGACTGATGCATATGAATTACACATGTTTGATATCAGCTTGCAAAGTGCGCGAACTACATTGTTCTAAAATATACAGTTGCATACAGGCATTCACGCCTGCAATACAAGCTATTGTTATATGAGAATACAGTAACATTATTAACAAGTAACATTATTGATAACACAATATAATATAATATATTATAAAAAATAATATAGTCGAACCTCCCAAAACGTATACTTTCCCTCACTTTTTACCTTACGCATGCGCAAAGACTTACTTGGTATAAATTTATCTCGCGTTAGCGCAGTTTCGCGGTTGTAATCATACTTAGTGATGGGAAAAGCAATGAAAAGGAAAATATACGTTTTGAGAATGGATTTTTATACGTTTTGCGAAGTTCGACTGTACACATTATATTGTATTTACATCTGTCAAAAACTAATTCTATTGAATATTGTATCAAACAGTCATGTTAGCGCCAAACGTGGCATTAAAGAGAAGTATATAACAAATAGAAAAGACTAGAAAATAATCTACCATTGACTGATATTTTTTTTAGTAGGCCATATTTAATTTAGTGTGGATGAAATTTGCCAGTATCATCTGTCGGTTCCAATAGTTTTCTACTTAGGTACGCAATTTCTATGTTAACATGTTATGGTATCTGCAAGTTACCGAGTATCAAGAGAAGTTGACAGATGGTGCTGCAATTCTAGTCGGTGTATTTTTCCGAGAGAATTTTCCTGGAAGGAGGGTCCTTTCGAATCGAATCCTTCCTTTTCTTCTCCCAGAGTTCCGTTCGAATTCAACATACAAGGGAGCTGACCCCACTTGAGGGGTGATTTTGTGGTTCGTGGAATGGGGGCTTCACTCATAAAAAGGGTGGAGAACATTACGCTGCCATTCGAACACGCCATTTTGTAAGAGATGAAATATAACGTGGCGAGAATTTTCAAGTATTCCAAGCGACGAAATTATTGAATACGGCACAACAATTTCGCGTACAATTACGCAAAATATATGAACTTATAAGATTAACATTTTGAACTAAATTTACTTTTTTTTTATTGTGTGACTGTCTGAAACAAACATGTGAATTTTTTCGCCGCGTGGTTATTTTACAATAAAAAACCGTCAAGAGCGACGAAACATATTTTTTTACATAGTGACGTAAACGCAAGCAGTTATTTTATCTTGGTTTTTTTATAACTTGCGCGACAAAACAGTCGCTCGCGTGTTTCAAGCGCGTAAAAAATATGAAAGAAAAATCAAATCATGAAAATACAAAAAATTAAAAATTATTACAACTTGTATAATATTACTGAAAAATACTTAAAGCTTCATTTTTGTAAATTATAAATGAAAGATAATATTGCAAACTAATTTGTGAAAATGTGCCGTATTTAAAGGTTTTGTCGAGTTTTATAACAAGCGGACAGACATACTACGCGCTATTGTAGCAAATATAGAGATGTTAGTTATTCTGTTAAAAAATAATATCACTAATCAGTCGATCAAATCAAGTTTTTTTAATGACTTAATGTCGTAATGAATTATAATTTTGCGAATATTTCTTTCCCAACTAGTGGCGCCGTCTGCAGTTCGCAAGATTGCAATTCTTGCGAACCACCATTTTCTCTGTGCGCGATATGCTCTTACCATCTGCATTTGAACAATGAATATTTAAGCATATGATTCGCATTTGTATTAGTTTTTGCTGTGAATATGTTTGTTTGACATACAAAATTGATTTCGATAAAAATTCTACTTGACATACATCTTGATATTAAATATTCGCAACATTATTTTAGATTTTAATTTAGAAAAGGCGTGAATTAAGAACAATACATAAAAATCATATATTACTTATGTATTTAGTATTTTACACGTTTATTAATTATTTTTATTACTCACATTTTTACATTACATTCATAAAAGTACATCACATTTAGATTTAATACTGATTTCCGTCACATTTGGTTCCCACTATTGTTTTACACTTTTTCTTCCATGTACGCATATACAATCATATTTAAAATTATATATTCTTTCATAATTTATAATAATCTCTTTTCTCACAACAAAAGTACAATATTTTCACTACACTTTAAGCTCGATAAGCGACAAAAACATTTCAAATCGTAAGCTCATTATTTTTTACATTATTTCTATATACATAATACATATAAAATAATCTAATAAATATTAATCTCTTTACTAAGCAAGCCAAAATAAATATTAGTCACAAAATGAAAGACTTAACATAATTTATAATCTTTACTGTAAATCCATAATAGTTAAACAAGTTTAATTTCTTGTTCTTTATTTTTTGTTATTATTAAACTTAAAGAATTAAAGCACGATCTTAAGTAAATATTATAATTAAGTGTTTTTTAACAAATATATTTAATTTATACCGCTCTCAAAATACTTAAATTATACAAGAGAAGTAATAAAGCTAGTAAAAGCCAAGTGCTGCAAAAATACTTTTTTCTTTAGTGTAAATTAATGCACATTATATAATTCGAATTAATTTAATTGGTTCATTCGTGTTTTTGTAAAAATTCGCAGGAATTGTTTCTATATAAGTACACGATGCAGTCAAGTGTTTGCTATAGATTTTCGATTTGAATTCAAGTCAAATTAATTTATATTAATTTAATAAAATAGTTTAATGTACATCCAGTGCTTGGCTTTTACCGCATTTTTATTATTTCTTTTACATAGTTAAAAAATTAGTTTTTTTATAACATATCGTCTCGACGATACTCCGGGCAAAGTACTTACAAGCCTGTGTAGAATTCGAAGTATCGTCAGAACATCGGTACAAGAGCGGTCCCAGAATATTCATGGACCTCGGACCCAAAACCTAAGGGCTAACGCTTGTATATCTGTGAGCGACTCTATTTCGCAGAAATAGTATAATTCGGTTGGCCGTAAAGGTTAAACGAGGGTTCTCGGTCTTCAATTATCAAGGACCGTCCCAGGCAGCAACATACCAGAGTATTCTTTAGGTGTTCGGGCTTTGGGCGATGTCGGTTCCGAGTCGAAATCCCATAACTAAAACTGACCGTTAACGTTTACGACCTGCGAGCTATAATTCGCAAAAACGTCGATCAAATTTGACGCCCGCGTTTAAATAAAAAAAACAAAAATCGGTTTTAACGCGCTCGGTAAGTAGAAGAGACCGGCACCGACACAAAGAACTAACTTATTGATTATTTAATTAATTACAAATAAAGCTAAACACGATAACAGTCTCTCTATCTCTCGCAAGAAAACAAAATAACAATTATATGAGATCGGGACAGATATGTGTGGTCATATCTTTAATATTTAACATTGGGACAAAACCCGGCAAAATGACGGATTTTAGATTTCTCACTTCAAATTACAAAAATTATTGCTTTTGTGATCCAAACTTATGTAAAATAAGTGCAAACTATATTAAAAATCTTTAGCTAGCTGAGAACTTTTGTTGTTAATTATATTTAAATATTCATAGTTATTTACATAGTAAAGAAATTAAAAATAACGAATAAAATTTTTTTCAAATCTGTCAAATTGATGGTTGTGGTAATATTTTCAACTCTAGTTGTTAATATTAGCAGTAAGATCGTCCCAAGTTCATCTTCAGATGCTTTGTAGCCAATAAAACGGCTCGTACGACATCTTAAAAGATGAATTTATAGGCGACCCCTTAAATATAAGATCGGACAATTACTTAGCGACAGAATTTAAACTAGAAAGAAAATTATAATTTTACAATTCAATTTTCTGTTCTCTTCGCTCCGTAACGAATTTTTTTTTCTCAACTTTAAGCAAACGTAAAGCGTTGAACTCTATTATTCTCGAAGGGTTGATCCCCATCTGCGCAAACTTCTTTTCTCCGTTTCTTCCTGCTTCGGTAGTCTCTCCGATGTGCCGGAAAAGCTGGCACACTCGGCAGCAGAAGTTGCTCAAGGCGTTGCCACTGGCAACCGATAAAACTGTGGAAGACCCTCCTGATCTCCTTTCTCTAGGAATTCGTTTGCCATCGGCCCAGTTATTGAACAAGCTTATTAGGCATCATCGACATCATGAGAATCATAAAATAATTAAAACAAGCAAATTATAGCTTTCTTTCTAGATTTTCTAAACTTTGAGAAAATAGACACTCGAAAGGCCAGAAACGAGCGACAACTGCATGTTTTATATAAATTTATATATTTATTTTTGTATTATAAACATTTTACGGAATAAATATTAAAAATAAATATTGAGAATTAATCTACAAATGTTTTTTAATATTCAGGTGATGGTCTTTCAATTGTCTACTTTGTGTTTTTAACGAGCTATATTGTTTGTTTCTATTTCTTTGAAGTATATATTACATAAGAAAAATTTTCGCCTTTCTAAAATATGCTTTTTTTCTCGTTTTTACTGAAAGCTATAGAAGTTCTGGGACAATAATGAATATGGATTAAAAAAT